TAGAATGATCCAAATAAATTATTTGCAAATGAACAAAATACTTGAAGAAAATTAACCAAAAAAAAAAAATTCATAATTCACCTTTATGGCATTGCTATCTTGGTAGTTTTCAATAATGAAATTTATGTCCGCAATATTCATTCCTTGGTTAATTGTAAAATAAGTATTGCATGGTATTCTAAAATAAAGTTGGGAATAATGTGATATATAAGATTAGCTCTTAATAGGTACCTGAGTAAGAGAAGCATCTTGTATCGATGACAAAGACCATGCTTGATGTCGAGCTGCCATGTCGAGAGGAGTAGAAATTGTTGTGGCCTAACCAAATTTGAACTATTTAATTTTACAAACACACACACATAGACATATGTATGCATATATAAGTGTAGGAAAACATCAATAACTTATAAATTCTATTAAAAAAACTACCTGATTAGATGTGTTTGTCAAGTTATTCGGAGCATGCTGAACATGGGAAACTTTGGACCTTAGCTCTGAATTTTCACCTTCCATAACATCCATTGTTCTGTCTTGGTTTGCTTTATGACCAGAGGCACTATTCGTGACGCTATCAAGTGCCATTAAAGAAGACTTGCAATCTAAAAAATGCCACGATATGGATTTTTAATGACGCTTATTATGCCACAATTGATATTTATAACACCTTCATAAATGCCACTAAATCCAATTCATTTGTGCCATTAAATAGATGTAAGTGCCATTGGAACTTATTTTAGTGACACTTTGCAAAGCTACTATCACTACTATAAAATGCCACTTACATATTTTTTTCATTGATACTTTTAAAAGCTACAATTATGCATGCGTAAATACCTGTAAAAATTGAATCAATTTTATAAACAATTAAATATTAATTGCCACATCATATATTAATTTGACATCCATTCATCCTATAATACTTTCATAATAATAAACAAATATTACCACCATAAGATCATCACATCAAAAAAAAAAAAAAAACCACAATCAATTATTCATTAAAATCTCAATCCAAAATTATTAAATATTCTACCACACTAACAAAGTTAAAGCAAAAACAATTTAAAAGAAAATTATTCCGACCATAAGTTCTGAAAAGCCATAGTGATATGCATATTCCGGAGAGAAAAATTATCAAAAATAAAATTAGTTCCCAAATTCTCAACCTCACTTGTATAAATATTCTCGACTAGCATCCATAACTTGTGAAATCTGCATCCAAAAGATAAACATATGAAGGTAATTGAAACTATATTAAGTTAATATAAATTTGTTAATAAAATTAGTATTTACGAAAGAAATATACCACAAATGGAGCAGGCCAAGCAACATGAGCTCCAATAACTTGTCCAATTGTTTTGACAAGTCCATATGATCAGATCAAGCTCTCATTAGGTTTGATTGGCAATTGAACATGTACCTCCCAATAGTCAGGTCCTAGTTCTTCCCCTTCTACTTCTTTAGATGTGTCTGTGCTTTTAAATACTCCGATTGCAACTGTTTCTGTTGGCCTAATGATACTTTTTAGAACAACTATATCTCCCACCTGTAAATCAAGATTTAACTACTTAAGTAATTGTATATTTAAAATTAATAAATAATATTTAAAAAAAAACTAGTACAAAGTGCTAGAGTGAAGATGATCACAACTGAAAGTGATATGGATTTCTATAGTAGATAAGCAAGCCAAATGCTTTAATTACTTAATTGGTTCACTACACTACAACAAATTATATAAAAGTAACAACCGTAAAACTTTAGACCATATCAAACAATAGCTTCAAAAATCAATAACAACCAAAAGCACCAATCAACGACAATCAAAACCATGTCCATTATCAATATCAGGATCACCTAACCTCAACGATGTAAATCAAATGTAATTGTGAAAAATGACAATCAACTAATTACTTTCAAGCAATATTTTGAGAGAATCAGAAAGAGGCCATGCAGTAATAAATGATGGAGAGATGTCTTGTTAAAGCTTTAGAAGAAAATTAAATTAATTTTTTTTAAAAAAAATAGCACAAACTTTGTCATGTCATGATTTAGACAATGTAGCACATATTGTTTAGATTTAAATAATGAAATTTATGTCCGTAATATTCATTCCTTGGTTAATTGTAAAATAAGTGTTGCATGGTATTCTAAAATAAAGTTGGAAATAATGTGATATATATGATTAGCTCTTAGTAGTTATCTGAGTAAGAGAAGCATCTTGTATCGATGACAAAGACCATGCTTGATGTCGAGCCATGTCGAGAGGAGTAGAAGTTATTGTGGCCTAACCAAATTTGAACTATTTAATTTTACAAACACACACGCATAGACATATGTATGCATATATAAGTGTAGGAAAACATTAATAACTTATAAATTCTATTAAAAAAATTACCTGATTAGATGTGTTTGTCAAGTTATTCGGAGCATGCTGAACATGGGAAACTTTGGACCTTAGCTCTGAATTTTCACCTTCCATAACATCCATTGTTGTGTCTTGGTTTGCTTTATGACTAGATGTATCTCTCCATAAATTAGATGAGGAGACACCTAATCCATACATGCAAACTCGTCCATGTTTTTCTTTACCCATCACTTGTCCAAATGCATCATTTGGGCCCTTATTTGATAAATTTGCATTTAAGATTGTCCTCACATTCATTTCATCCTATAAGGTGGCAAAAAACATTACTTAATATATACATTTCAATAACTCAACACTATAATGTGGAAATTTTAACTAATCTACAAGTTCAAATGGACATAATTATTTGGTACATACTATCATTGCTTTCGTTGCCTCAGGGGTTCCTATCTCCTTTGTATAACATACTTTAAACATGTGAGCACGAGTTGGAGAGTGTCCCAACTTATTTTTCTACAAAATAATATATTCCAAAATATAAATTATATCATTATGCCACATTATGTATACCTTATCATATTAAATATACAACATGAAAAGATGAATTAACATGCCTCTTTCGAACACGGTGTGAAAACTTTTTGTCCAGTAGTATATTATACTTTTCGCTCCTGCACGATTGCTTTGTTTTTATCACTTTGTGCCTAAAATTCAAATGCATAAATTTAAATGGTGTCCAATACTACAACAAGTTAAAATAACATATAATGATCAGATGAGTATACCTTTACTTCTTCGATGGCCAAATACTTAAAAGGTGTTCCCTACTGATCAGGCCTTACTCTATACTATCTTTATAATGCTTTTTGTTTGTCAAACCTCAAGTGGTTTCTTATAATATTTTTTTTATGTTTGCCTTCCAGTCTTTAACTCCTTACCAGAGCACTTCATAACCCACTTCCTAGCATGACTTGGGATATATCCAAACCTTTTGACTGAAAAGAAGAGAGAGAGAAGAGAGAGAGAGAGAGAGAGAAGAAGAATACATAATAAAAATTAATCTTCCACATAAAAAAATTAAAAATAAAACAAATTATAAAGAGTGTTGTTTTTATAATCAACATTACTCATGTTTACCTATTTTTTCAACAATGTGATCATCTTTCGCAAATTATTGTGGTCATTTACCTGTACAGTGCCCATAAATCGTGATCTTTGTTAATGCTTCTGGGACTTTGTGCCAATGTCTTGTATATGAGTGTGGCAATTTTCCCATACCGCACAATAGTTCCAATGAACATGATAACTTTGTTGTGCCAATTTGTCATCAGGTTGGCCAAGTTTTGTTCCATTGACTGTTAGGCGGCTCATCATCACGAGTAACTCCCAAAATATTTACGCATTTGCCGTGGGACCTCTAGTTTTCTTTTGTCCACTAGCAGCACCATCTAGTTATAAAAAAATAAATAAATAATAATACTATATCAAATTATATTGAAAGAAATAATAACATTTTTAATAAGGTTTGAACTTGCATACCTGCATTATCATTAGGTTTGACTTAGAATTTTGGTTTATCTCAGATAGGAGCTGACTACTCAACTCACCACATTGCCCTGAGGCGAAACTGAAGATATGGGTCCATAGGCCTTTTTGCTTGATAGATGAATTCCCTAGTATGATTCCAAGTAAAAATAGACAAATCAAATTGTAAACTAGAATGATCAATATAATTATTTCAAATGAACAAAATACTTGAAGAAAATTAACAAAAAAAAAAAATTGTGAATTCACCTTTATTGCGTTGCTAATGCATTGGTAGTGACTAAATGTAACATAATAGTGAATAAAATATTTTGTAGCCAATATGCAAATCACATAGTAAATTAAAAATGCAATTATTTCATTCTTTTCTTCAACAATCAATTAAATAACAAAAAAAACATATGATAAAGAAAGGAGAACAAAATGAAAACCTATTAGAATTGTTTCAATAATATAAATACTTAGCAATGTCAATTAAGTTTTAACAGTCACATAAGATCTAATTCTTCCTCGATCTCCATCGATCATCTCCATCATCATGTACCATTGTTGTTCTCTCACAACCGAGAAAGTGTGTGTCTGAACGATCTGCAATTAATTGCGAATGTCCGAACCAAATCAAATTATGTCCCCATCACCACTTTGTGTATTACATACAACACTCTGCAAGTATGCCTCCACATTGTCCACAGAAGACCCCGCATTCATATCATAAAAATCTCTCGGATTTATCTTGATAGCAACTTGCCAATCTTTGTGTTTCAGGTCTTCTACATACATTGCCTGTTCTGCTTGAGAAGCCAACACAAAAGGCTCAGCATCTTTCATTAATCGTGCAAAATTGACTAGTGTGCAATCTTTATCTTGTCTTTTCCCTGATTGTGACACCCATTCACCTTTAAATAACACGACCCTCTTCCCAAACAAATAATCTAACTCAATTATATCTGTTAACACGCCATAAAATGTAACATCTCCAGAGACTGGATTTCCATCTCTACCACTTGCAAAGCTTCGTGTTTTTGCCGTGACAATAATCCCACTATTTTGAGTTTTTCTCTTTTGCTCAATCTCCTTAGTATGGAACCTAAAACCATTTATCAAGTATCGCTTATATTTTGTGAAAATTCTATTTGGACCATGAGCCAAACATCTAAGCCCTTCAGTTATTTGACTATCCCCTGCATTATGCAATTCCTCAACCTGTTTTCAAACAATTGACGACATAACTTTTGTAAGTGTGGAATGAAATTGAAGTTAATATCAAATCAAATTTTAAGGAACTTTAAAACACTGCTTACATGTTTATCAAACCATGTTGGAAATGTTTCACTATGAATGCGATCAATGACCATTTCATGAAGACGTGGATTTTGTATGGAAACAAGTCTACGGTGTTGCCTGTATGCCATATAAAAGATTTGTAAGGGTGTGGCAAAAGTATGTAAAATAATAATAATAATAATAATAATAATAATAATAATAATAATAATAATAATAATAATATTGAAATTGATTACAGATGTCGAGTGTCTTACTCAATAAATTTGTTGACTGTCTCACAATTAAATAGCACATATCGATGTGCTTTTTCTTTTGTGCCATCATCCATTGTGTCTATCACGCCCTTACCTAATGGTCGGCCAGGCATTGAGAAAATAGATAATCTTTCGGTACCATTACCCCTCTCATCATAATTTCGAGACATCCGGTTGAATCGTGTCTTAACACCTTCCATATACCTCGAGCAAAATGTCAAGCATCATTTGCAAGGTATCCTTTTGCCATACTACCCTCCGGTCGACTTCTATTTCGCACATATGACTTTAATCTACTCAAGTACCTATGTTTTGGTAAGTTCAAAAAACAAAATTTTGAATGATGTTCGATAATAACAAAAGTAAAATATAATAACGATGGTAAAGAAATATGTAATTTAATATAAACTTTACCTCTCAACAGAATACATCCAACGATAATGCATAGGTCCTGCTAATCTAGCCTCAGATGCTAAGTGAACCACCAAATGCACCATAATGTCAAAAAAGTTAGGGGGAAATATTTTTTCAAACTTATAAAGTGTTATCGGAATTTGCCTTTCAAGACGCATAAAGTCTTGAGCCAAACCAACTTTAGAACATAACTCTCGAAAGAAATTACTCAACTCAATCAAAGGTGAAGTTACATGTGAACTCAACATTCCTCGAATTGCTAAAGGGAGTAATTGTTGCATCAAAATATGGCAATCATGACTTTTAAGTCCAAAGATTCTACGTTGCTTTAAGTCGATGCATCGTGAAATATTCGTTGCATAACCATCAAGAACTTTAACAGTCTTCAAAAATTTACAAAAAACATCTTTTTCTTGTTTCTTTAATGAGAAACAAGAAGGAGGCAAGATGGTTTTATTTGCTGCATTTTCTTTTGGATAGAGTTCAGGCCTTATACCTTGAAGTTTCAAGTCAAGACGTGCATTTAGATTATCCTTTGTTTTCCCCTCTAAATTCAGTAGTGTTCCAAGCAAGCTCTCACATACATTTTTCTCAATGTGCATCACATCAAGATTGTGACGCACTAGATTATCCTTCCAATATGGTAATTCAGAGAATATGCTTCTTTTCTTCCAATTATATGGTAATTCTGGATTAGTACTCATCTTTCTATAAGTGATATTGAAGCCATGTAACATATCCAATACCATAGAACCAGTTAAAGGATTGGGTCCAGTTCTTTTTTCTTTAGTACCATCAAAAGATCGCTCATCATCTCGAAATGCATGATGTTTGTCTAAGAATCGACGATGACCCATGTAACAATGTTTTCGGGCATGCTTCAACCACTGGAAGCATATGTCTTTGTGGCATGAAGGGCATGCATACTTCCCCTTAGTACTTCACCCTGACAAATAAGCATAAGCAGGGAAGTCGCTGATAGTCCACATTAATGTTGCACGCAATTGGAAATTTTGTTTAATTGATGCATCATATGTCTCTACTCCATCCACCCATAATTCCTTTAATTCATCTATTAAAGGTTCCAAATACACATCAATATTATTTCCAGGTGCACTACGACCAGGGATAATCAATGATAATAGAAAATTGGTCTGCTTCATACACATCCATGGAGGCAAATTATACGGTATAAGAATTACAGGCCAGGTGCTATATGTGCTACTCAATGTTTTGAAAGGGTTCACACCATCACACGCCAACCCAAGTCTGACATTTCTACAATCTGCTGCGAAATCAGGATGTAGGTGGTCAAAAGTCATCCAAGCTGGAGAATCGGCAGGATGTCTCATACAACCATCATTGGTGTGACCTTCTTTATGCCACTTCATAGATGATGCTGTTTTGGATGACATGAATAACCTTTGTAGCCTTGGTATCAAAGGAAAGTAATGTAGAACCTTAGAAGGTGTTTTATAGCTGTCTTTTTTAGAGGATGCCTCGTTGCTTGAATCATTTTGCTCTGTTACATACCTAGATGTATGGCAAACATAACATTCAGTGATTTATTTTATTTTTTCAATAGCCAAAGTTCTCTCTCTGCTTGGTATCTTTTAGAAGGTTCTAAACCTCAGTTCAGCAGCATCTGGGAGATAAATACAAAGATATATCTTATTATGCATGCTCTAATAACCCTTACCTACTGTAGTGTTGCTATAGTTTTTATTATTATCTATTATTTAGTTTTTTAGTTTTTTTAGTTTTTTTTTTCTCTTCCCTTCGGTGAAGTATTCTGAATTCTGATTGCATCCATTGCTAGATGCATTTTTGTTAAATTTGATTGTGTCCACTGGTAGATGCACCTATCTTGAATGAAATTCAATTCTTGGTCTAATCAAATACCCAATACTTCACTTATGTACCTCTCTTTAATTTATTCCACTTTTTAATACTTAGTGAAATCATAAAACATGATTATAGTAAAGATTTTAAAAGGAAACTCTATTTAGAAAAGTTGATAGTAAGCAGGCTTTGATTTGCCAAAACCATCCAAAATCTAGGTTGTCGTCCATGTCTCCCTTCACAACAAAATATAATAAAATAAAAAATTTAGGCCTTTTTTCAATCCCAGGAAAAGTTTAAAAAAAAACACCAACAAAAGTCTTCCCACCTTTTTTCTGATTAAGGGATCAAAATATTCTAAGTTGTGGTAGCACAGAATTTGATAATTGCATTCAGCTTATGGCACAAGTCAAAGTTGGAATAACTTAGTTTACTATTGCAGTATTGTGTTTGCACTATTGATTTCTTAAGTTCTGTAATAACATTATTATCAATGCAAATTCAGAGATGGTTGTTGCCTGCATTTGTATGATATGGTTTAAATTTTTTTATTATTGAAAACTCACTTTTTGGCTAAGTTCATAAGCAATGAAAAACAAGTTCTCGTCCACTATTGGATTGAATGCTTATAACATGATGATACATGAAAACATTTTCATCTCTAGGCATGTCTAATAGTGTAAAACTTAGGTTAAGATTAGTTTTTAGGGGATAACATTTCCCCTACTCTGGGGGCCTTTGTTGAGGTGTGTCAGGTCTTGGACGTAAGTTTGATAGCCAATAAGGTGGCGGAGGAATATCAAAGTTTGAAAGAAGGTATCACAAACATGCTTTATATTTATCAGCTTAGATCAATGATGTCAACATTCCTTGCTCAGTTAAACTCCACTAAGAACTCTGATCACAGCTAGAATTCCTAGGCGAAGTATACTATCTGCTATTCAGATTCCAAGATTCGACAATAGCATCAAGTTCACCCTCGGACATATTAAGCTTAATCTTAAGGTTAGTACAATTTGATCTTCAACTCTATTTCACATCATGGATATGGATGTCAGCTACCACATCATGGCATCATAAGCACTGCATTGTTCCCTCCACATTCCATTTGAGTGCTAGGAACTTAAGGGCCACCTAATGGAAAAATCATCAAAATTACTACTAAGCTGGACAGAAGTTCCTTTAAGAGAAATGAATTCTATAATGTATTTGCTCCTAATGGAAAAGATGACACTGCTAAGCCAGTTCGTACACCATTGTTATGTAGGACGAGTAGAGAGTACATTCCTAGAAGTAGTGAGCCGGGATAAATATACTGGTAGCAGCAAACACAGGTTTATAGAGCTGGATTTAGTGGGGTTTTGTGGCCGCAAAAAGTAAAATTATAGGAGTTTAAGAGTTTGTAAAAAGGTAGAATTTTGGGAATGAAAACACAAGTGTTTAGAGGCTATTAGGTGGCTGTTCTAAGCATTATGAACAGTGTCTTGAATACTTTTTGCAGGTTAGCTGCAATCCCGACTTGCAGCCACACACTAGCAGTGTGCAGGCCCCACTTTATTGGAGCTACAAAAATTATTTTGACTTATTTTGCCCACTCTCATGCATTAAATCAATTTTAAATTGCACTTTTATTGAAAAATACTTAATTTCAAATGTTCATAAAAAAATTGGCAATTAAAAATTAGTTAAATGCATGAATGGTCATCTAACTTAATTTTGAAAATAATATTTTTGTTAAAGTTGAAAACATTTTAAAAACTCAGGTTTATTTTTTAATATTAATTCAGAGTCTATTGAAGTTTTAAGAGCATCATTGTATTAGAAATGTCACTGTTTCATCATTGGAAAACACCCGGGGATGCCGAAGTCCTAGGACTGGTCAAAATGGGTTGTCTACAGTAGTCATTGTCACAACTGAAACCTGCAAAAAAGGGGTAAAATCCATCTTTCCACTCATAGCAACCATCTTTTCTGCTGTTTTCACTGTCCATCTACACCTTTAAAGCATTCTGGACATCTGACTTCACAGATTTACTCTTTTTTTATATAAAGAGAGCTCCTCTCCTCCATTAAGGCATGTTAGTGGAAAAAAAACAAAAGTTACACAAAAACTAGATGCTAAAACCATTTATATTTACTCCTAAGCATACCTAAAGGCTTTAGTTCCTTCTCTGTATTTACTTCCCACCCTAGCTAGCTTCCAAGCCTCTCTTTTAAGCCCAAATGTAGCTCTAACATTCAATTTTCTTCTTTGCAACCACACTACACTACCACTCTCCACCAATAACTCCAATTGTATAACAGCCCCCATCTCGACTAATTTACATTAGTTTTTCCTTCAATCAACGATTTTTAGTAAAAACCAGTGTATTATTACTCATGCGGGATTTAAGAGTTCGAAAGGTTCATATACACTATTGGTCTCGTTTCCTAACAGCTTAACTTTTGTGACAAATGGTGATCTAATATGGAATCAAAGCTTAGGTTAGTTGAGGTCTTGGGTTCAAGTCTTTCTATTTGCATTTGGTTCCCATTTGCATTTTTTTCTTCTTTCATTTGCATTCTTTCCTCTCTGTATGGATATTTGCATCTCTACCTGTAAGACATGGTTGCACGTGAGCTAAACTTTTAGGACAAGTAGTGATCTGAAACTAAGCTCTCTCTCTCTCTCTCTCTGTTCCCTACAGTTTGGTCCAGCAAAGTGGATTTCACAGCTTATTTCAGTTCATTCAAACCTATTATAGCAGAAAACAACCCACTCATCAAGCCTAAAGACACAACGAGCATGCCCTTGGGTCAGCACAATGTCATGAGATTACAATTCAATGAACCTAGATTTCCAAAGGACCCACATACAAAGTTGTACAAGCCGACAGCCCAAGCCCAAAAATCTTACCATCACAAAAAATGTTCATGAAAAATGGAGTATACTGTTCTCTTATCAGTTTAAAGCAAGACAAATAAAAATAAAAATAAAAAAGTGAAAGGAAAACAACACTAATTCATAATTGCAAGAACACCACTACCACAACAATCTGGAAGAAAGTTCTGTATAATAATCCCATTGAAGCATTTAAACAAACACTTGCAAGACATTATATACAATCACAACATAAAAACAATAATAGTAAATTACAACTAACCTTTTATATTAAAAGATGAAAATTAATAAATTCATGAGTTACAAAATTAGATTTTCAGATTGTATCAAGTTATATGGCTAAAACAAGAAGATCATAAATAAGTAAGAAAGATAGAGGTATTGTGTGTGTTTGATGAGAATGAGAAAGAGAGAAAGAATAGCTAATGAACTCTGATCGTAGAAGATGAAAACACAGGAAATTTGTGGTGTAGATGGTAGATAAGGATGACACTTGATAAACCCTTGCTTCATGATTTGGCTCCCGCCTCTTTAACCCGCCAAAATCAAAATTACTTTACCAATTTCAGAATTTTTAGACTTCCTTCTTTGTCTCTATGTCAATCTGGTATGTAGATTTTGCTGTATCAAATTTGGTTTGTTTCTTCAGTTTCGTTATTTACTTTGTTGTATAACATTGAAGAGAAAAAAACTTATCTTAAATTAAAAAGTAAATATTTGGTCCTTATATTTTTTTATTGAATCACTTGTTACTTGTAATTTTTAATTTTATGTCAATTGAGTATAATTAATAATACTGTTAATATTTTTAATAAAAAATTATTACTGAATTTGTTGTGGTTAACTTAACAAGTTGAGCAAATTTATTATTTTAAAGTATGACATATGTCACTTATATGCATATTTGTCATTTAAAAATATGGGTAAATTACGTTGACACCCCTCTGAGGTTTATGTTTATTACAGTTCCCCCTCACTGTTTGGAAATTACACTTCCCTTTGAGATTTAAAGTTTCATTACAGATTCCCCCTCAACAATTTAATTTTTTTTAAATACCAATTTTGCCCACACTAGGTAAATTACATTGACACCCTTCACATTTTAGAAATTATAATCCCCTCCCTAAGGTTTAAACTAGCATTACCAATTGCCCCGTTGTTTAGTATTAGTTGGAAAAAAAAATTAATTGAAAAAAAAATTAATTGGGAAAAAATATATTTGAAAAAAAATTTTGTTAGTAATTTTTTTTAATTTATGTTTAAAAATCAACATAAACTCATTTTTTGAATTTACGTTTTTTTCTCAAATTTACAAACTGAGACAACAATTTATAAACCAAAAAAAAAATATCAAACAAGTTTTTATGACAGTTTTTAAAATTTTTGTAAATATAAATTGAAAACTGAAAATGAAATGGTTACCAAACAGGTCTCAGATGATAAAAATGTCGTAAAATTAACAAATAATTAAATAAGTTACCAACGTAAGAAATGACTTATCAAAAGATTCTTGGGCTACGTATAGTTTGATTTTTAGAAAGAAAATTTAAAAATTAAAAATTAATATTTTTAAGAAATAAAAAATAATTAATTTACCCAACAATTATAAATCTAAATTGTTGGGTAAAATCTAAAATTAAGTGTCAAAAGTGAATCAATTAAAATTATATGGAAGAACAAAGTGTAAGGATTATTAATGTAACTTACCCAACAATTATAAGCAATTGAAAGAAATTGAGATAAATTCGTAATTTCAGAGTGAAAATCGAGTTAATTGAAACTAGAGGGACTAAAATTCATGAAACTTTATCATTGTACAAGAGAGCAATTTGGATTTTTTTTCTTCTTGTTTAGTCATATAAAGTCGTTGATCAATTTTATACATGTAACAAGTACAGTTAAAAAAAATATGTTATATTGAGTTTAATTTATTTTGTTCATTTTAAATTTTTTGAAAATATATTGTCATTTTTTGTTTTTCCAAAAAAATGCCATTATATAGCTTGGAAAATTTTTGGCTTAGTGGCATTTTTCAAAATGTTATAAATATTGTTTATGACACTTTTTGCCTAATGCCATAAAAAGTAACTTGCACCTACCTAGCTTAGTGACATTTTTGAGAAAATGCCATTGCTACCAAAGTTTAGTGACATCTGTTGATAAATGTCACTAAACAAATTTCTTGTGTCATTCTTTTTATAAAATGCCATAAAATTGATATGACATTTATAAAATGCCATAAAATTGATATGACATTTCTTTATTGAAATGCCACTAGAGCCTTATATGTTTGTGGTTCAGTGGCATTTTTCTAAATGCGTCACCAAATATTTTTTTCGTGGCATTTTCAAAAAAACATGCCACTAATATAGTGTCACTAAAATGTGTTTTTGTTTTAGTTTTGTGACACTTATTTATTGAAATGTCACTAGAGCCTTTTATGTTTGTCGTTTAGTGGCAGTTTTTAAAAACGTGCCACCAAGTATTATTTTTTGTGGCATTTTCTAAAAATATGCCACTAGTGTAGTGCCACTAAAGTATGTTTTTGTTGTAGTGTCAGGAGATGTATTTGTAATTTACTTTTTTTTTTTTTTTCAAGAATTTGATAACAATGTCGTTATTTCTTGTTATACAGGGGATACAATTGTCAATTGACAAGGAATCCCTAATAAAAAGATAAAATTATCTTAAACTAAATATTTATTTCATTTTATTGCATGGGAATAGGGATGTAAAAATGGCCTGTCAACCCGAAACCTGCACAGGCTCACCAACCTAATTACTCCCTGGGTCTAGTTTTTCGAAAAATGGGCTAGGCCAACCCGATTTTTTGCGGGAGTCCGATAGGCCTAAAGCTAGGCCAAGTCAAATTGACATCCCTACATGAGAATAGCTTGAGGTCCAGTTCGGTTAATGTGGGTCCATATTAGGCCTATTTCGACAATATGAATTGTTCATTAGGGTATGTCGAATACATTTATTTACACAAAAAATTAAGTCGATCGGGTATTGGTAGCCATTTAATCATTTGTCTAAAAAAGTAAGATGGACTATCTTCTTTTATTCTATTCAAACAAATAGGGCGATTCTATTTGCATCCAAATAGTAACTTGGTACGCCCAATTAAAATTTTGAAATTTTAATTCTTATTATATCCTAATATAAATTTACTAATAAGGACAACACATATTAAATCCTAAATAAAATAATTTTTTTCCTCATGGTACACCCTAATAACTCATACGTATTCTTCATATTCAAGTCTCTTCATCTTCTTCACCAAGTTTTAATTATTTTGTTTCCATCTTTTTTCTCATTTCAAAACTCTAATCTACCTCACCAAAACTCACTATTATCATCAATATCATTATTTCTCATTGTGTTGTTACTTGCAAATAGTAGAAAGTTTGAACAAAATCAAATTATGGATGAAAATAATAATCAAAATTATTTTTTGAAGCAATCTATCAAATATAAGACAAATATTCACACAAATATCAAAATATAATTATTGATTTCTTTATTTTTTTATTTACGAAAAAACACATATTATAGGAATCATACTGCCCATTGTTTGGGAAGATAAAGCCCAGGGCTTTTGGGCTATTTTAGCCCCCCCCTCCCAAAAAAAAAAACAAAATAGGCTTTTTAACCCAATAAGACAAAACATCACATCAAACTCTTACTCATTACATTTTTTCTCTCACAAAAGTTAAAAAAGCCAAAAAGTCGATTCCAAACGAGGTTGTTTAGCTACAGGATAAAATAGCCAAAAAGTCAAAAAGCCAACCCACATCCCAAACAAACCCCTTACAAAAAATATATCAAGTAGTCTAGCAAATTTTGTTAAAAGAAAAAAAAAATCCCAAAAAACACAAGCATACCTCCACTAAAGGCATACTCTCTCTCTCTCTCTCTCTCTCTCTCTCTCTCTCTCTCTCTCTCGATATTATATGTACTCATTTATGACTATGTATACGTCATCATTTGCAGCCTAATTTGATTCGAAAGATATGAAAGTTTTGTTGGGTATACCTCTTTTATTGGAGTATGAGACTCAATTGGTTTATTAAAAGAATTTATGTTGGTTTAGTGTTGGTTATAATGAGTATTTAATAATCTGTTTGGTAAAAATTAGAGTTTTGATAAAAAGCCCAAGAATCACCAATATTTCTAGGTATTATTTTGGTTTTTTCTAGTGGTGCTGTTCCTAGTATAATACCATATTATTCTTGGTGGCTTCATACAATGCCCTGTTTTTAAAGGTTTTGATTGCTTAATCAATCAGTGAGTTGGTCTGTGCTTGGGTAAGGTTTTTTGTCTTACATGGTGTATGTTTCAAAAGACTGTTTGGGTCACAGATTTGATACAATTTGATTGTCTTATTCAACTATGTTTCGAAAATTTTTGTTCATCTATTTGGTGAGGTATTTCCTCTTGATTATTTATCATTATTTCAAATTCACCTAAGAGTGGTTTTGTGAGACCATTCGTGTCTCGTTAATAATCATTTGAAAACTTTTTGGTTAATAGTGTAATCGGATTTCGATCCTGTGGACATATCTCACATTAAGGAAACCAAGTCAAATTCTTGTGTCACTGTTGATTTAATTTTTTCGTATTAGTTTTTATTCCTATTGTGGGAAATCATTTATTTTCCTTAACAACTGGTATTAAAGCTTACGATTTTTTTGGGTTTATTTATCTGTGTGAATCAATGGAGGGAAATGTGGGTCGTATGTCTAGCTCAATAAAACCAATTGTGTAACTTGGAAAACTAAAATGAAGGACCTATTATTTTGTAAAGACTTGTATGGATCTATTGAGGATGATAGTGGTAACCCCGATGGTATGAAAGATGATGAATGGAAGATGCTTAATCGAAAAGTCGTTAGTGTTATTTGTCAATGGATCAATGACAGTGTGTTTCAACATGTTGCTCCTGAAACTTCAGCACATGATTTATGGAAAAAAAAATTAGATGGTCTTTATGACAGAAAATCAGCTACAAAAATATTGACTTGATCCTTTTAGGGTGAGCTAATGAGGACAGCGATTGACTTGATCAATTTGTCTCATTCCTATCTTTTGAATAGTAATGGTCCTGAAAGAGTTTAGATCGGCAAAGACGTGTCTTATAAGCACTTGAGAGTGTTTGGTTACCGAGCCTTTGTTCACATTCCAAAAGACGAGAGGTCTAAGCTTGATAGCAAGTCCAGAAAATGCATATTTCTTGGCTATGGGCGTGATGAGTTTGGTTATAGACTGTGGATCCAATCGATAAGAAAGTTATTCGAAGCCGTGATGTTGGGTTTTTTGAAGACTAAACAATTGAAGACTTTGACAAAGGTGATCAACTGGAGCCAAAAACTAGTGATCTCATTGACATGGATCCATCTCCTTCATCTTCAGTTGATGAGGAAAATGAGGGAGATGTGCAACCATCTATTGAAGATGTGGAGGATGATGCTAATCCTAATGAAGTTGAGTCTGAAATTAAGGAAGAGCATCCAACTCAAGAACCGCCACCACAACTTGAGTTGAGGAAATCTACAAGGGACCGGCAACCTTAGAGAAAGTATCCTCCTAACGAATTTGTGTTGATTTCCAATCAAGGAGAGCCCGAAAGCTACCAAGAAGCAATTAAGCATGCAAAGAAAGATGATTGAAAAAAGGCTATGAAAG